GTGTTTCCCGAGTAGCGGCTGACCTTCCTTGGCTGCCCAAACGTGCTACAGCACCCACAGACAGCGGGCCTCACCATTCTCGACGAGAAATGATGACGACCGCCTGGAATGCCCATCGCTTGCTTGAGGGCATGGTTCCTGGAGTTAGAGCTATTGCCCTGCTCCGAAGTGGTGCATGGCATGTCCTGCCGTCGAACAAGGATCTTGGGTCGTGCCTTTTTTTTTTTTAATTCCGCCACAGGCGTTTTGACCAATGAGCGAACTGCGTGCCACAAAACCTTCTCTCATTAACTCGAGCAGTGTAAAATGTGTGCTTTTCTGGCAAGATGTTGTGATTCCCTCTCACCTGTGGTCCGGAAGATTCCACCACAGTCGAGAGCTCGTACAGAGCATATGTTTGTTTTGCCTGCCGTCATGAACGTACCCTACTGCCACGACCCTGAAAGCAGGCATTATTCCTAGTTTTTCGTTCGTGTGCTCATGTCAACCTTCCCCAGGAAAACGCCCCCGGTCGGTGCAGCCGGACAAATATGCAAGAACAAGTCTCGAACGTTCTTCACTGCATGGTTGGGCTCGGGGCTATCAAGAAGGTTATGAATGGCAGCCCTATAGGGAGCGCGCGAGGTTTCCTAGCGGCAGCCGCAACTGATAGGATCGCAACTTTGATTTTATTGCCTCCCCTTTGGAATCCTAAGCAACTGACATCCTATCGAGGTTGAAGGCGTTTGGCGCAACCAACGTGGCTTCGAGTTGAAAGAGGTGGTAGACGTGTGAGGGCATTGTACCGATGATTCAAAAACCGTTTGATCTAAATGAAGAGACAGATAGAGCCAACGCTCTGGAGGGGAACACACGGCGTTGTCGGTCGCCATTTTCACCGATCGCGTTTCACATGCCCTGCAAGTTGCGGTCGCCGTGAAAGAATCTTTGGCGAAGGTGCTCAGCGTCCGACATGATTAAGATCGTGTTCGCCATTCCCAAACATCGTTATCAAGGAAGCATTTCGGGCTCTCTGAAGGCTCAAAAGCTTCTCGGAGACGGAATGGTCATGGAGGCGTTCAAACGCACTTCATGAATCCCCTGGACCAAGTAATATCACAGACCTCGTGCGCGGTTCTCGTCTGAAAATCTATCTGTCCTCAACCAAACGCTTTGTCGTTTTCCTCCACAAGAGGTGTCCATTGCTTGCCGCCCATTGTGAACACAAACCACCGTTTCTTCTGTTTACGTTGTTATATGCGACCACCTGGTGGCCAGAGCTCGCATTCAAAAGGTGGTGATTCTACCCGGGTGAGCGTCAAATTCAAATGGGTGGGGCTTCCCCTCTCCCTTCCTGACCAAGATCAAGCACCGCGCGTTGGCACTCAAGCATCTGCCGACCATTCTGTAAGGGCTGTGACGATGCCTTCGATGCAGCGCTCTTGTGCAGAACAACGAGCGTTAGCGAGGGGATGCCGTGATCACTAGGAGATTCTCATGTCGTATTCCTGCAGTTGGCATTATTTTGGCAATATGGAGGCAAGGGTATGGAACGACGCCCGCTTTTCCTAGGTCAGAACCTCGGGGACACTGAAAGTCTTTTCGCATGGCTGTTTAATAGTGCGGTTCCACCTATTCAAGACCGTCGGCTCGTCACCACGAAACGTCTTGTTTGGACCTCCCTTTTTTGAACGACGAATTTCCCCCTCACTGAGTGACGCTTGAGAAGCACCCAAATCGCCTTTTGCAAAGCCCGCCGTGCTCTACGAGGTCAAAAACCTCAACGGGCGGGGGAACAACGTTTCTACCGTTTGACACTAGGGAAATGATTACTGTCGTCCAATCCTTGAATGTGATCCATGACACAGGACAAAAAGGAGCATTTTGGAGGGCATGCTGGACCGCCGAAGGTGGTGCCTTTGGTGCGACTAGCCAAGGAACCACGCCTAACGTTTCCCAACAGACTGGTGAGCTTTCGTCTCTACGTGTGCTACTGAGCTTGGTACCGTGTGATGGCTGACTGACAAGGTGAAGGCGGAACGGTAAAGAAGACCGGCGGAACGCATGTAATTGCGTGGGGGCAACATTCATGTAAAATGCCAGTTTTCGTCTGGACAGAGGGGGAGTCTTTCTTGTCGGTCCAAACCATGAAATGTGTCTACAGTTGGGTTGGGGATGATGCCCGATACCCATGCATGAAATTTTGTAGTCAACATATCTACGGTTACAAACGATGGTGTGTCTGACACACAGCGCTTCCCATCCCCAGTGCGCAAGGATGAACGAACGGTCAGATGCTGCGGGGTCCGTAATATCGCGTGGAATCCACCCTGGCATCAACTCAGTCGCTACATCCGGCGTGATAACGTCCTTCGGCGATGGTGTGACTTATGCTGGGCTTAGTGTGTCACCGTCCGGCAGAGAAGGCTTCAAGAAGCTACGCCGCACGATCGTCGACGACATGGGGGTTTCTGTCTTTGGGTCTGGCCCATCGTCATCGAATACAAAAAGCCCGGTTTTGGCCAGCAAAGATGCCGACCAACACCTATCGACGCCGGTGTTTTTTATGTCGGAAGAGGAGGAAGAGGACGACGACGGTGGCACAGCGGTAGAGGATCGATCTACAGATAACGATGCGCGCTCGGAAACAAGCGCAAGGTAACGTTGCCAACGTCTACCGGCTTTCCCGGAGACAAGGGAATATTATCGTGAAATCTGTACCAAATATTGTTCTGCCTCCAAGGAGGCTCAGACCTTTACATGCCAGTCCCAACTTTGGGCCAGTGCCGTTCGCGTCGACGAAACGTCTAGAGTTTGTCAGCATTGATTGTTCACACGGCCGTACTGTCCGACAATCTGGAGACAAATCGGATGTGGGTCAACCTCGGTCAACGGGGTGAGTTTGAGTTCAAACCTGGTACCAAGATGTGGGTCGCACGTGTCGTCCTTTTTCGTTCGTCACAGGGAAGCTTTGAACGCTCAAACGCGCAAGACGGCCGAAATGATAGCTGAGGCTAACCGCCAGCTGGAGATGGAGGCCATTGAAGAGGCGAGTCCCGCGTTGAGCTTTTTTTAGGGTTGGGCGCCACCAGCTCCCAGTACGACCGTTATGGATGGCATGACACAAAAGAGAGAGAGAAAATGGATCCATCATCATGATATTATTTTCTTCTTGTTGTCCTGAACTTCTCAGCGTCGATTCAAGCACAAAACAGTGTTACCGACAACAGACCTCACGAGGTCAGTCCGATCAAACCATATCCGTTGTGTACGGTAGTAAAGAAGTCCTGGCTCCCATACACACGGCCGAGGACTTCCTGGTCGGGGTATGTAGCATGACAACATGACAACGCTTCGAAAACAAGCTTGTATTTGTTGTAGACTTGATGTTTTGCACAACACATATATATATGTATGAACAGTACTTTCGCTGGAATTCGCATGGGCTCCCCCCTTCTCCGCTGTCGGCTCTCGCTGAACAGGTACGGGCACGCTTCAGGTGTCAAGAGCGCGAGATACACGCCGACCGACCCACCAGTGATGGAAACGAAGCTCGCGGTGATGGGGGTTGGATAAAAGGACACGGGAGCGGGGGAGGCCAGGGAAGTCGCGGCGACTACAACTCCCACGAACACACCGACCGTCACTATTCTACCTCCATGGGAGATGGAGGAGGTGCCCGCACCGTCAGCTCATCGTCATCCCGTTCCGGTTACAACAACAGCCACTTGGGGAACGGATCACACGGAGGAGGTTGCGTTGTGAGCGGCAATAACTCCTTTGGGATCGGGGGGCGGTCGACTTGGAGCCAGAAGTGGACAAATCCACAGAGGGAGCGACTAACATGAGGACGTGGAAGACCGTGATTTGTGGGAGGCGTTACGACGACGTCGTGTAGACAAGCTGGGAATGGGTCGCCATGTAACGGTAGGACACGCTAGCTAAACAGGCGTGGTGGTGGTGGTGGTGGTGGTGGCGGTGGTGGTGGTGAGGAGTGAAGTATTGATTCTTGGGCCATACTGGTCACGATGGCATGCATGGCCGTGGGGGCACGGCTCACAGCGAACATTGCTCACCCTCTTTCCGATCTGTCGCGGTCAGAAGTACCTGAACGACAGGGGGCTAACACGCGTCGGTGACATTAACCAGGGACAACTCAGGCGGGTTGGGAGAGTACTCGTATCTCTGTGCTGACAGAAAATATTCGAGGCTGGCGAAACCAAACCAACATGTAGAGTATACCGGGTTCTGCAAGCAGCTGGTCTAAGACATATGCGTGGGTGGATGTCGTCCCATCTGTTCTGGGTGTTCAGTCAAAACAGGAGGAAATCCCCACCTTCCTCGTGCTGTGCTTGCCCTCACATTTTAACGCGAGAAGGGTGTAGCAGACACTTTCTTTATCGTGTGTACTTGTGGTCACGATGCGCCCTTTCGTGAAAATTGCGACTTCAGTCAGTTCTCCCTCTAGAGAGCTTCGAGCCCACAACCCAGGCTGGAGGGTCCGCGGTGTTGTGCGAGTTGCCAACCGAATTGTCAGCCACGTTGAGTGACCGAACTCGTGCCTTCAGTCTTGCCGTGAATGGAACAATTGCAGCGTCACTTCATGCTCAGAGGCTATTTTCTGCTTTCAATAGACGACTCAGCACCCTCGATGTACGAGCACGTCAGACTTCCCGCACGTATTGAATACTCTTGGTGGGAGTGTGGAGGGGGGTGGAACTATGCCGCATTCAACCCGGTTCAAGACTCGGCCGTCGTGCCCAAGCAAAGACGACCACGTGCGGTCTGGCCGTGAACCGCTAGAGCAAAAAACGTTTGGGAACCACGTGGAAAGCCCAAACCCGGCTGTGAATAAAAGAATGGCCGTGAAACATTCTTTCCATTCTCTTGAGACTTGAGGCGCACCACTCGACACACAAGTATCGCACGACCAGGTCAAACCCGAAACATATATGCCGCGCGACATGGGGGGAGCACTCTCAAGTGTGATTGAGCGTCCCCTAACAATAATCAGCACGTCTAGAGGTGAATTTAATTTTCCGGACGGCACAAGAAACACCCAAAACCCCACATGGTCTTGATCCACTTGAAAAACGTGGACTCAATGCTACGCCGTCCTTTGGTGCTACAAGGGCGTACAACCTCGTATTACACCTACTACTTCTGCCAGTCACAGAGCTATACGGGAGGACCCCACGCCAGGAGCGCCACTCCTCTTTGTCGCCACACGAGGGGGGGCACATCCTCCGGCACGGGGAGCTCCACCGTCACGATGAGGTCACTGCGCCGGGCGTGCAAGTACACCGGTACCGCCACCCCAGGCAAGGACTCGTCCCCTCCAGGGCCCTCTGCTGCACCATCAGGGCGTCGAGTCCAGCAAAGGCGGCAAAGGGCCAGGGCCTTGCGGTGGTCCTTGGAGAAGGCTAGAGTCTTGGTCGTTTCGCTCCAGCCGGCCCCTTCCAGCACGAGTCCGATGATCGGGAACGCCATTGACGAGCCTGACGAGGGCACGGGAAACGGTAACGCCGCAGAAGCGGAGCGCGCGGGTTAGCCTGAGTCCCTAGGTGGTGCGTTGAATAGTTAAACTGGCCAGCCTTTCCTGCTACTGCATATTGCTGTGGCGGCATCCACTTCCGAACCCGCCCAACCCAAACCTCCAATTTGCAAATGTCTCCTGCTCGCACAGAATCGCCTAAGAAAATAAAAAGTATCGAAAAAACCAAACAGCAGAAGACGACCCGCGGGTTCACCCGCCATCCTGTGTTGTTTTGCTACTGTCTCCAAAACGTACAATCAGTTTGACGCTGTCCAGCACGTCCTATTCAGCGATGGTCCAAATGGCGAGAAGGGAACTTCCGTCGTCACAGATGAACGTAAGTAAGGATGCAAACCAAAAGTTACCCAGAACATGTCCTTTCTCTCACAAAACCAAACTAGAGAAAAATGCTGGACCCGGGAAAACACATGAAAACAGCGTAAACAAGAGAAAAAGATCCCGTCGCCAGACTGCAAGGCTGCCCCGAGAAGAAGGCACGCCGTAGGACCATCCAATCACATAAACGTGAGCAACCCCAGTCGTCAGTATGTCAGGGGTGCGTGAAGACTTATGTATCACCGCGCCTGTGAAGCCGCGCGGTACTCATCATGAGGTGATCCCATATCAAGCCTGCCTCCCCCGTATTCCCCTGAAGAGTAAGGACGTCAAGGACGCACATCGATACTAAAAAACAAAAGAGGATCCGAAAGAATGACGTGCTCAACAACGAGAGACGACAAGGAGCCAATAGTCAGAGTCTGCAGTCACCTTCGTCAGCGCTTGTCTCCTCTTGAGGGCCCACCACAAGGGACAGCGCCAGCTCATCCAGAGAGCACGAAAGCGCCCCCGCCACATGCTGCCGGCTGGCCGTCACGAACGCATCCGGGCTGAACAGTCCCCCCAGCCAGTACGGCGTGGCGCTGGGACCAGTCTTGGGCCCGGCCTTGGAGACGCTGGCGAGGTGGTCGAGGCGCTTGGCGAGATCGTCCACCCACCCGGCGACACCCATGTCAGCCTGCACGAGACCAGCCTTCCAGGTTGCCGGGACAACGTCCTTCGCCAACGCGCCCACGAGCGCGCGCACCTGAAAGTGAAAAGGATCGTTGCGGATGGTAGCACAACATGAACATAAACAGCCGCACCGCGGGTATTTGTGAGTAGACGGGACTAAAAGACATGATAAAATGTTCATGTGCAACTCAGCAAATTCCGGAGGGACAGCGGGGTAAGGCACCCGCACTCCTTAACACATGTGGCACGGAGGACACGATTGGGGAAATATGTACTTCAGTATGACACACGACGAGGAAGCCTAAATCAACCTCCACGTCCCACCAAAATGTGGAATCCACACAAGCCAACGTTCGCCGAAGCTCAACGCAGCAGCTAGTACAATAGTGCTGTACCGCATGGACCCTAGCACACCTCGTTAGTCGCCTTGATCTCGCCCCGGCACAGCTTCTCCACCGACACCAGATCTCCGCGGACCCTGCACAACAGCGCCGACGCCGTCGACACCTCGCGGCACAGGCAGCGGTGCAACGCATCACCTTCCTCGGAATCATCCTGGGCTTTGGCACCGCCAGCCGATCTTTCCTTGTCAATGGTTGTCGGCAAACTCGACAACCAGCTGTATAGGTGACGACACGTCAAAGGAACAAGAAAGGTTTCTTAGTGTGTCGCTTTTCCCAACGAAGGGCATGGTATCGTGCAGCAGGCGGAACGCTTGGGGGGGGGGGGGGGTACTCATAGTCGTGCATGCCGTGGTCATTAGACCATTGACCTCGCATCTCTACAAAGCCGGGACGGAGCACGCCGGGTTCTCACCGGACCAGGCTCTCACATCACCAAGCGCGAAGCGCTGTGAGGTATTCGGCGAGTCGTATGAAGGGTGCGCTGCATCCTGCTAAGGGTGTTCGGCATCTTGTGCTCACTTCCTTGCGTACGGATGACAGCTGTCAATGCCTTAATTTATTTTCTGGTTGTTTCACTTTCAGAGACAGTTGTTAGCACTGTGTAACTGCCTCTCGGGTGCTTGACCAATTTAACACAACGTGGTGCGATCATCCCCTTTGCACGGAGTGAGGGTTCTCGACCCCGCACAACATAATCTACTCGACCACCATTATGGGTACAGAGAGAGAGAGAAAAGGTTCCCGCAGTTTTCTGATTGGTCAGTTTTTTTAGGAGGACGCTTCAACCAGCCAATCGCATTAGTCCGGTGGCCCAGTAGCTTGCAACATTGGGCGTTTGGACCGTGCTTTAACCAGTAGGTGGCCCGGTATAATGCCGGTGGTTGACAGCCGATTTCACCGGCAGTATAGCGGGAGACCGGCATTATATAGAATCGGCCTCTATAATGCCGGTGTGCCGGTTCCGGCAGTACTGAGGGTCTGAGGATTCCGCTATAATGCCGGTACCGGCACCATTAGGAAACCGTCGAGTTATTCAATACAAACGTGTAGCACACACCACAAGCATCAGGTGGTCGGGAAAAATGACAGTGGATGCTGTGACAGGAGGTTTGGAAAGCATTCCGCGATCGAGGAGAATTCAGAGGCGCGTGCATCGAAGGGCCGTACGCTAGCTCATCCCTCCATGCATCTGTGGTTCCACCCCCTGAACTTTTTTTTTTCGCAGAGCAGTGTCTGTGCACAAACTCTTCCTTGACGTATAATATTCACCTGACCTCTGGTGCCTCCCCGTCACTCGCAAAAAGACATATATTCTATTGTATGCGAATATCGAGAAAGAAAGCAAACCAACAAACAGTTCGAAAAAAAAAACATCTGAACACCCATGTACGTGGCGGATAATAACCGGCCAATACTCGCTCGCACAGAACAAGGAAAAAAAAAAAAAAACAGAAAATTCAAACAAAAAGTGGTCAGGCTGCTTGTGTTCAGATAAAAACAACAAATGTACACCCCACACACCTAACAACAGGTTGCACCGAACAAACAACAAAACCATTGATGCTGAATCGACTCAAAAATTACCATCAGATCTTGTCGAAGTAGTCCCTCATGATGCGGCAGGGGTACAGCTGGTAGGAGTATATGGCCTCGAAGTGGTTGTGTGTGTGTGGTGGTGTGCAGTCCTGTGTGTGCAAGCAATCTTGAGAACCGGCATTATTCACGGGCCACCAACCCCCCGAACCGGCATTATAGAGGGGTCGGCCTCTAAAATACCGGCATTATACCGGCTTGAAGTTGTGCCAGCCGATTTCACCAGCACTAGCGGGCAACCGGACTTATTCCGGGCCACCTACTGTACCGCAAAAAAACAAAGCGGTAACATGGGTGCCGAGCTCACCAAGTGATCGGCTTGTCATAAAACGTTGCCACGGCCGAAAACCCGACCCCGACGGAAAAAGACCGAGAGGGGGCGAAAAAGGCTTCAGCTGGGATTTGAACCCAGGACCTCCTCAACCCAAATGAGGAATGCTAACCACTACACCACAGAAGCTGTTGTTGGTGGACGTGGGTGTGGGATGGATAAAAAGACTCTTAGATGGTGAACGGCTTCAGGGTATCTCCAAAATACTTTCAGCTGCTTTGAGCTGCCTCCGCGCCCCCTGCGTGCCGAACAAAACAGAAATGGGCCTCATGGTCGAAACATTCTGACAGTGGATCTGGATTCAGCCCCCAGCCCTGCTGCCGGTACTTGTATGGCCCGGAAGGATGTGTCGTTCGTTCGAGGAAGCGGAATCCCTTATCAAAACACAGACACTCACGTCTTTGACTATTCAACATGTTCCCCTCCTTTATGACTTTACGACCTCTCGATATGGTTGTTCGTCTAGATGCTCGAGACGCCTGACACCGTGATGTGACTGCCGCGGAAAGTGTGTGCATGTGTATGTGCGCGCAGTAAAATCGTCCCCGCCCCCTCCCCCCTGGGCTATTCCTTCCACGGTACCCGTGACTGCCGGTGCTATCGGGAAGAGAAGCGTGTTATACAACTTGTGACGCCTCTTTAATCGGCCAACAGACCACGGCATGCGCACTCGTAAATATAAAGTGTAAAGTGTAGACCATTCGTGTGAAGCCTTGACCCCAACTGGCCCCGGCACGACCACAAAGACGCACGCGCGCCAACCGACACGCATCCGAAGGGTTGGCTTCGCTTTCTCAGATGCTGCAAGGCGAATGAAAGCGTGTGCCTCCACGCCGCTACACCAACACCCTTTATCCTTCATCGATCAGTAAAACAGACCCTCTTGAGCCAAGCACGACAACCCCAAGTATTCTCTTCTCACCTCTGGGTCCGCTGCAGCAGCTGCTCCAGCCTCGCTTCTTTGCCACCGGTGCCCACCTCATCTCCCGTCGTCAACGCCACCGCAGCTGCCTCCGCCCAACTGCCGTCGTCCTGAATCAACTGGTGACGATCGCGTGAACAAAAACGTCCCAAAGTGATAAAATCGTTTTAGGATTGGACGACACTACTGCTGTAGCAGGCGACCGGCGTCACCAAATTCTAGCGAATGTCGTGCCCAGCGTCCTGGTCATCACGGGCAGTCGATTTGACTTCCACCGTGCTGAAGCACCCGCTACATCGACAACTTGCAGGACGATCTACAGCAGAAACCACAAGTCCAGCACCAAAACAACAAAATAAACGCCACATTTTCAGCAGAAACCACAAGCCCAGCACCAAAACAACAAAAAATAACGCCATATGAATATGAAGTAACTAACTAACTCATCAGTCACCTGCCAAGTCGAGAGGAGCTGTTCGCCCCTGGTAGCCAACAGTGCCGCCTCCGCGTTAGGAGCAAGCCCCAACCACGTGGGAGGGTTGCTGGCGGGCAGGCTGCTGGCCCACTTGATGAAGGCATCCGGGCTAGTCGCGTCGGGCAGCGACACCAACGCCGACGCTTGCGCTGTGTCACTGTCGTGCGCGCTTCGAGCAGAGAAACAAAGGTAAGGCAACGCAAGGGGACCAAATAGAGAACACTCTGAGGACAGGCGGCCGTGGATGTACTAAAATATTAAGCCGTGAGAATTGCACCAGGTACTCCTTACGCGGATCCTTCTCTTGCTCGGCGCCAGCCGTCTCCAACAACCAACTCGAGCGGAAATCAGCAAACCAGGCAGAGCAGTCATTGTTTGGTCGTCGAGCGCGTCTCCTTCCATAAGCAAAGGTGCCTATCACTAATAGACAAAAACAGTAGAACAATCCTGCAGGCCAAAGATACTCAGGGCGTTGATGCTTATACAACAACACGGTGGAGGGCCAATGCTACTGCAGGCATACGAGCAAACCCTCCAGCACTCCTCCATCCTCAGGGTACACCAACGGGGGGGCAAATCTACCTGCACAACGGGAAGTTGAGGTCGAAGCACTTGGGCTGAAAAAGGGAAGCCACAAAGCCTTCTAGCAGCTGCTGGTCGAACACGCTGTCGACGCGCCCGCCATATACGCTCTGGCCCAGCAGAGCACGCAGAGCTTCCCACGGCACCTGGAAGCGGGCGTCATCGGCGCGGGAGAGAGGTATTGTCGTGACCAGAGTGTTGCACGCGGGCCGTAGCGCTCCCTGCAGCAGCACGTACCTCGCTCCATGGCCCGCGGCCCCGGAGCGATTCTACAGGTGCAACGTGATCGGCGGGCTTTCAACGTGGTCGAAATTGACTGCACAACATTCGTCGTCAGCCTTGTTCACGCCGTGAGATCGCGATGGGCATGAAATCTACAATGTCGCCCGAACTCAGCAATCTCGAACCTTGGAGGAGTACTACATTTTCCGGGCTGTAATACCTTTTCCGGGCTGATGTGCTGCGCACCGTGCGCGGCCCCGTCGACCCAGCTGTCGATTGCCTGAAGAGCGCAGGTCGCGTCCGCCTCGCTGAACTCGTACCTGCCGAAATATGACGAGACAAACCAAAGAACAAAAAGGTGAAACAAACCGTACGTGGCGCTATTGCGTTCGAGAACGCTCACAGTAGTTCCATTTCAAAGTGGACCCGTGCACATGCCCGAAGGGACAAACGACAAGGTATATGGAAGGGCAAACATGGCTGCCGTCCCGGATGCCCTGCGTTCGCTTCGATCCGGTCGACCTGTGCTGCAAAACACCGTACAGCTCAACAATGAACAGGTGCCAGTACAACTAAACCTTGATATCAGACCATCAAACCTACGAGCCCACACCGCCTTTCAAACGCACACACAAGACTGCGACCAAGACGCGTGCTTTGGGTTAGGCTACACCGAGAACACGGTGGCTCACCGCTTGCTCCAACCAAGGGGCACATATCGCAGTCGCTCTTGCACAACCGCCTGCAGCCATGCTAGAAGCACGTACAGCCTGCAGATGCAGGCAAGTTCACGAGTAGATGTCGGTATTTAGAAACTGGACAGAGGAACGAACCGTGCTACCACCCCGAAACAACATGCATGATGCTCGCTGTGACTGGGCATCGACTAGCATGCACCAAGAGCATCGCTCTGCAACGGCATGCACCGAGAGGACCTCCGACGCGAGGTCATGCTCGAGAATCCACAACCTTGGTTCTTCGCCACAATAGCTGTGAGGTGAATCGGAATGGCTTATTCCCACAACACTTGGATCGAACACATCCATACGCTCTTGGGAATGCCGATCGGGGTGTTAGTCGCCGCGGCGTCGGCAGTAACAGCAAAGTAGCAGCAGCAGCAGCATCACCTGCTCCGCTCCACTGGACGCTTGGCAATGCGCTCTTTGGGGACTTCCCTCAGGAAACGAAGGACGTTAGCTCTCACGCCTGACGGCGCCTCTACCACCAGAACCTCGCTAGCTCTGAGCAGGCTAGGCGGTAAGCGTGGGTGCACCTGGGAGTCAAGACGTAGATAGAGAGAGTCACGATAGGGTTGGGTTGCCGTGGGCGTCAACAAGGACCACACAGCACACCAGTGCATACGCCACGCGCTCTGTGATGCCATAGAGTCAAGCAAATCATTTCGTCGAAAAAAGGTTTGGCGCACAAAACCTGCAGCTAGAGATTATTGAGTAGAGCCTGTGCCATTAATGCATTCAAACGCATGAGGTTCTGGCTTGGGTAACAAACCTCCGATGTTAGGAAGAGTCTGAAGGACGGGTGTAAGGCCAGACCCCTGAGCTTCTTCTCCAACCCTCCCAGCCACTCCGGGCACAAGTGGGTGTTTCTCAGCAGCACCCATGACCTGGTTCACACAGTGGCGGCAGAGCAACCAATAGATGAGAACGTATAACGGCTGCACTCAAAGAATGTATGCATGTGCATGTATATACTGTCACGCGCTCAAGTATGCAGGTGCGGCGGCAAAAACCACGGTCTGTGAGTAAACGAAGGATGTGAAAAACTGTGCACAATAGACACATCAAATTCGTCCATCATGCAGGGCGCCTTCGGCCTGGATGCAAAAGATGAACCTTCAACACCGAGCACCTGCTATTAACACCGACACCTACTGCCCTAATACCCGTACCCTTGCTTGGAGGCCAGGTGTAAAGCCCTTTCGGCCATGTCGAACCCTTCCGAGGACCCCATGGACACCGACTGCATGGGCCGAGACATGGAGCCCGAAAGCGCATCCACCTGTGCGCAGCAGTACAACGACAGAGCAAATACGGCGTTCAGATAGGATGCACCGCCCCCATAGTCGCGTAGCCAAAAGCATCGTCCCATGCCAAGTCTCGACTACAAGCAGCGCACCGAGGTATGTAGTAAGACACCTCGACAACAATAGTGCTGCACAATATTTGTAGACGCAACGTAAGACCAGACCAAACCCAAGCCGTTACCCGGAGCAAACATCAACCACAGACAGGGCACCTTCCAGCTGGCGTCGTGGCCCGCCTCCGAGCAAAGCAGCACCGGGGCTTCAGGGCCAGGCCCCTCCCTCACAGACGCCTCCAAATCAAGCGCGTCGTTCCACGGCAAGCCGGTCTCCCCCTGGTCTCCTCCGCCTTCCGCGCCCTCGTCCGGTGCCGAAAACACACTCTCCACCAGATCTTCTGCGGCCGCCATGGTGCGGTCCGGTCGGAGCGCGTGCACAACCGCGAGTGCCAAGAACGCCTGCCTCTCTCGGGAGACCCCTTCGGCCGTCCAGCCTCTCGTCGGCAGGAACTTCTCGGCGTCGTTTTCGTCGAGCACTCGGTACCACTCTTCCGGGTTGGCAGAGAGGTGTTCGGGAAGCGGCTTGAGCGATGGGAGGGACGAGAGAGCCCCGATGTCGCGTGACTGCCGCTCTGAGAGCTCGCGTCCGGGGATCGATGGCACCTCGCCTGGTGCACCAGACAAGAGCAAAGGGGGTTCCGCAATTAGGCATACAATTGGTCACGGCTTATTCCCAAGACAGACAATCAATCAGGCCTGCATTTCCTCGCCTGAACTGGTAAGCTGCAGCGCACCTAGCTAAAAGCAATATACAGGCAAAAAGCCGGGTAGCTGTCATGACTGAATGAGGGCTTTGTGTCACGAAAACAAATTGCCTTGAGGGAACAATATCAATGTGTGCCAGCCAACGAATACACCCATAGCTGAGGGCACATCCGAACTGTCAGATCGGATGAAGCAAACTGCGTGTGATGTTTGGGTAACGCGATTTGACCGGTACGTCTCAGGGCACCCGGCAATACTGAGCCCCCCCAACACTAACCCAACACCGAACTCTAACTCATGCTATAATGACCATGACCTACGGAAAGCCGCTATTTGAATAGGCAATCTAACGTAATACATTGGCAATCTAAACAGTCATCAAGCGTGAATGTAAACGCGAAATACCAAGGAATGTGTACACCATGCTCGAAAAAACAGTGCGTCTTGATGCTTACCTGTGCGAGTTGTCGAAGCACCAGCCCCAACCCCAGCGGCCCTGAGCAGCGCCTCTAGCTCCCCCTGTGTCGGCGACTTTTCGACGTCGTCTTCAACGTACAGCTGGACGGACGGACACACCAAGACGTGGTAGCATATGTGAGCGATTGGTGGATAGTTGAAACAACGCCAACGGCAGTGAGCGCGGTCACCTGACCTCTCTCGCGGGGACGGTAAAGTTTATCGAGTAGCACGGTCCATGACTTCAATATGGCGCGAAAAGATACACGTACGTAGGATATTGACGGATGGAACGACAAAGGGAATTTAGAACCAAGTTGAACGACTTTGATGCTTTTTGCGGTCACCTGGGCGAGCCTGAGAGCGAAGAGCAGGCGGTCCTTGTTGAGAAGGCCCTTGCAGACCCTCTTGCATACGGCACGGAAAAGCCGGGCCTTGAGGATGGCGAGCCTGGCCGTGGCGTCTACGTTCCCGCTGGACGATGCCACCATTGCTTTGGCACTCTGCTTGGAGCTGGCAAGGACCTGCAAGAGAGGAGACATCCGCAACCAACACGACGACGAAAAGTTGAACCACACTTAAGGCTATTATAGCCTGCGGAGCCTGTAGCATCAGGCGCGAAAACCGACCAAGTGCATCATCACCACGGCTTCCGACGTTACGCCCACACAAAACGCCATCACTATGCTGCGGGGCTGGTCTACAAGCCATGGCAACATGCTCTCACGCGACAGTCGGGAAAGGAATAAATCTCCTTGGCATCATCTCAAACATAGGAGGCCCCGCAATACCCTGAACCCGCTGTGGTGATTTTTTCCCGCAAAACGGTTTCGTCACAACATGTCTAATCCACAAGCATGCGTCATGTACCTTGCCAAATTACACCGTCTTCAAACGCACCTGGGCCAGAATGTCTTGGAAGAACCTCAGCGAGAAGTGATAAAGGAAGTGAACGTCCCTCAGCGTCTCGAGTGCGAAGTACAGCTGGCTGCACGACACGGCCAAGGCCTCGTACTGGTTCGAGACAGCCTCCACCTCTGACATCACATCGCGGGTGTGCTCCACCTGCAGCACGAGCACCCGATTGGAACCATGGACCCCAAATGGCCAGAACAGATATATCAGTCGACTTTCTTTAGATGGCGGTAACACCACTTTTTATGGCTGGAGAATGTTGCAAAAAAAGTTGGAAACATTTTCTGCAACTTTGCTCGGGAACTTTTGACAGTTCAACACTTTCCGTGCACGCTCATTATGGGACGAAGAAAGTATTGTGCACGGGACTGGCGGAATGCGGAAGCGTGAGCTTCTTTTTTAGTAACGGCGAGAAGAAGCCACACGCCTTTCATATCGCACCGCGAAAAAAACGGCCAGAGCGTGCGGGAGAGGGTATTTGTAACCTTTTTTCTCCACGCTCACGAAACCCCAAGGCATCTAACCTGATACCAGAAAGATGCTGGGTAGAGCTAGCTCCCTCGGGGGGGCATTGCTGTTGCTGTTGCCTCCTCCTTCGAAAAGTTATCGCTGGAAAACCAAACCATGAGCACACACTCCCTGCGAACTTGAACCAACCGCTCTCTGACGTGGGTATTTGGGTCAATCAATACGTTTTTCCCGACGCGCACGATACCCCACGGCACCAAACCTTGGGCGTGAAAGATGGAGCAGAGAGCTACCTCCCGCCGAGTGGCCTTGCTATTACTGTTGCTTCCTCCTTCGGAAGTTATCGGTGGATGACCAAACCCGTGGCGGTCAAAAACACCGAACTTGAACTAACCGCTCGCGGCCGTTGACGGTCGTGCACAGAACAATTTTTTTTTTTCCCGGCGCATTCGGCACCTCACGGCCCCAAACCGTGGCATTACCCAACAGCCCATGGCATCACCTCCTTCCAGATACCATTCATGAGGCCACTCGTTATGTGTTCGTCGACATGTCGGTGGTCACTGCCTTGACACAATCGAAGCTGGAGAGGGGGTCTGCGTGTGTGGTAGTAGCAGCTTGACGTGGATTGGCGGAAGTTGCGCCGCGCAACTTTTGTTCGACACCGTCGTCGCGACAAGAGATGCAGAACTATTCCTCAAGATTGGAACTGTTTGCTGCCGAGAAAAAGTTTCGAAACTTTTTGCGCAACCTCATACTGAGCGTACATTAGGAAAGTTGCAAGAAAATTTGAAAACCTTCACTTTTCTTGCAACATTCTGCCGCCATGAAAAGCGGTGTAAGGGGCAAGACTTGGAAGAACAAATATGATCGTACCATCAACAGGCGAGCACCCTAAGTCACGAGACTCTTATCTGCCCTCCCATCACACAACGGTAGAGCAAGTTCTAACGCAAAAGGAGAAGAGAGGGGGACTTTGGTCGTTCTGTCTTCTTCTCACCTCCTTGGCAACGTCTCCCGCCTCGCCCTTGAGGTCTTCGAGGGCCTTGACTACCGTGTCGTCGTCAAGGATCGTACCCTCCACTGCGCTGATCGTGTCCAAAAGACGCTCCTCCAGCTGACGGAGCTGCAAAGCACAAGACAAGGCCACGATGGTGAAGACATGAGAGAATGACACAACTAGATGGGGAGCACCTTGCGCCTGCCGTCCGCACTCTACTGCGACGCATCATTGTGCGCCATGTGCGGGCACGGCACAGGCGTTGGTTCTGCTGCGGGCGAGCAATGCCGGCGTGTCGTCGAAAGCAACACCGTGTGCCCGGCCCGGGTGCTGATATGAATATCGGTGTGTGAAACTCCCCAACAAGGGACGCCAACATGGGCTTCTAAAACTAAAGTGCGGTATGCAGACACACTTGGCAGATCTTGCGATTACAACAAAAGCGGGAGGACGAGACTAAATTTTCGCGGTACATACGCATACCTTAACGCTCTGCTCGCCCTGAAGCTGCAACATCTGAGTTCTCCGCTGCTCCACGTCGGGCCGTTCCGACCTCAACAGGGACCCGAGCGCCTGCCACAGCAACGGTTTGCAAGGTCAACGTTTCAACACGATGTTACCTAATGATTCGCCGGGCTGCGCTTCGCAGACTAACTCCGCAGTAACACGGGGACGCGAGGGGCGCAGGCAAGAGGACCACGCCAGATCCGCCGAGTTGTGTCGCAAAGATGTGGTTACCTCAAAAAAGTGAACCGAGCGAGGTCCAGCACTTTGCGTGCAGAAACGTAGACTGTCGCATGCAGTACCCGAGGGTAGCAGCAGCAACACTCGACGGCAAGCGCAATATATGCACATTCCATAACAACGACAAAAGTTTTGGATGGCATGTCGCACACGCGCGTGTAGCAAGCGGTTCTACACACCGACACTGCCTTAAAACTGTCGATATTCCGTGCGAGAACAACAGCGGGACTTCCGATCACGCTCCTGGGGCAGCCCAAGACACACACACACACACACCTGACTCTGCAGGCTCGCAGGAGTGACGGTGAAGTTGACAATCGTCACCCTGGAGCACAGGTCAGGCGCGAACCGCGCCCCCGGGTTCCTCGTGACCAGCAGCAGCAGGAAGTCGGGGCTGTAGTCAATGTCCTCGGCGCCCAGGCGGATGAGCGTACGGCCACCGGTCCGCTGCAGCTCGCGGTTGAGGAGCGGGTTGAGCACCGGGTCGACTGTCTCCACGTCCTGGCAAGCCACGGGGGTGCCATGATGGGCAGCACCGAGAGGGGGGGGGGGTTCCGCAGTGTGTAATTGCACCGACCGACGGGGTGACGGGAGGGACACCGCGTCCGGTCCTACTCCATCTTCCGTTCCACAGGCAGCAGTGACACACTAAACTCGATAACACTGCTGTCTCCTACTGAAAACCAGCGTCACAAGCCAAAATTCAGGCTCATGAAGCAAAACATGGTGTTAGGTGAATTCCACAGGCAGGCACCAGTACCTGGACGAGCAAGGGAGTGCCGAAACGGATGGCGCTCGCAAGCGTCTTCATGAAGGACGCGTCCAGGAAGGAGGTGGTGGCAATCTTCCGCTCCTGCAACACCATAGTTGACACCATGCAATTGTTAACACACCGCAGTTCGGCATGGGGTCATTAGCACGGAGAGCATTGGAAACAGGCCTTCCTCCGCCGATACCGAGACGCGACACGAGTGAGTGAAGGGACACGAGAGCTTTACCCCACTTCTGCAGATCTCAACCTCATCAAAACCGTTTAGGAAAAGATTAACAACATCAAAGAGGAGCACTACCGGTGACACAAATCTCCTTTCGAAGGAACGTTAGAGGTCTTTTCAGTGAGGGTTGAGATACACCTGCTGGATAATGGACGTATTTGAGTCTTTTCTGAATCGACACACACAGTCAAAGAAGCAAGAACTCGACGATCGACGAAAGAGATGATGAGATGATGCAGTACCTTGTACTTGTTCAGGAGGAAGCGGGTGGCCTGACCGGCGGGGTCGACCACAAGAGGGAATCTGTGGCTGAACCTCTCCAGCACCACAGCGTTCTCCAGACACAGGTCGTCCGCAGGCAGTCCCATTCCCTGCACCGCATTCGACCAGAAACAATGAACCGTCAGACATCACGTTGCTGTCAGCCGTTCTTTCGTCATAGTGTACACGCTGGGCCGTACAAAATGTCCATCAATGAGATATGCCAGCCCTGGTCAAAGCACTTTTGTAAGCTTCAGCGTTCCTATCTTTGGACGGAATTCTGAAAGACACGTAATTAGTGCCAAGCCCCCAAAAGACGCGACTGGCCCACTCCGTAGCGGCTGTTTAGCTATATATTAAACGTTTGCTCTGGAATAGCTATAATAAATCAAAACAAGAGTTCACCTGCCACTCCAGCCTTTGTTTGGCCGTGCTGAGGTACTGCCTTAGCGACAGCTCTTGGCGGAAAGGTACCCCGATGTCGGTGAGGATCATACGCCACTCCGCAAGAAGAGACTGCGTCAAAAATGGCGGGCGGGCGTTGAACACAATCATGGTCACATACGGACACATTTCGGTAGAACACGAGAGGTCGTCCGGTCCTATGCCTCAAATAATAGACGATCCGCCGCGGATTATTTTTCCGCCTGCCCGTGGGTTGTGCGCAGTCTCGAAAGTCTTGCTCCATGCCAATTTACCTGGCTGAATAAAGCAAAAAGAGAAGGAACGTACTGGTATGCTAGAAGGAAAAACACGAAGAATATATGCCCCCCTTAAATACGCACTCTGCGGCGTGCGTCGAGACGACGTCATTGCGCTGAAATGAAGCCAAACCTTTCTGGTGCGGTAGTCAAACACTCCGACGTATGTGACGAACGCCGCGGCGAGGAGACCGTCGCCGATGAGGGACTCCAGCTGCTTGGTGAAGCTCTCGGACGACAGGCTCCAGCGGTCGCGCTCCTGCTCCAGGTTCCTCAGGAGAGCTTCCGCCCGGGTAACCTGCGCAGCACAACAGAGGAGCCAAAGCATTCACAACACATGTCAGCCAACAAGGCAAGAATAGGCCAGACCAAAAGAACCTGCCCAAAAAAACGACGTCCATGAAGCGAATCATGGAACTCACGCGCCCTCGCACTTGGATTTCGGATTGAGTCGTGTACCCGTTTGTGCAGCTACTACATGCTCCACCACCCCACACGGAACAGGCGTGGGTCTTGCCCAGGTCTTACGGCAAACAGTGCCGATATGGGCCACGTGCGAGAACGCTGAAACGCCCGAGCAGTACACTAGCGGCAGCAGCTATCAGAGAAGTCACTCGAGGTTGAAAGGCAACTGCGAGCGGGGACATACCACACGGTACTACAATGGTGGACTACTTTTGCTCGCCTTCTGCTTGACGGCTTCCATCTCAGACTTGACCGCCTCAATCTCCCTGATGGCCTCCGCGTACTCCTCCTTGTACCTGTCATAAAACACCACCAGACACACACGCAAGTCCATTGGATCTCAGTTTTTGGTTTCGGAATGAAGGTCTGTTCACACATAAAAAGTGTTTTTCGGAAGTGGGGATCGTAAGTATCGCGCCAAGTTTTTTTCGGCGTGAAAGGCGGAGGGTATTTTGACGCAACATGTGTGATTGGAGATTCTACGTATCGCGCCACATGTTGCCGTGTGAACAGACGTGGGTCCCACGACACACTCAGCCGACCCCGAGAGATCCGGAAGAGCTCGCCGCGATGGTCACCGGTACAGTAATGACGACTGATTACGCAGCTTGGAAGGCCCTCTACATTCGTGGAGGTACTGATGCTGGCAGCAGCAGTAATACCTGGCGATGCTTTCCTGGAGCTCGTCTATCTGGGTCTCGATGACGCTCATCTGCTGCGTAGCCTTGTCGCTCTCCAGCTGTAGGGCCACGATCTCGTCCTTGAGAGGCTGCACCATGATGGCGATGCGGCTGAAGTTTATTTGAGAGTTCACCCACTGGAGGAAGCAAACACGCGGGAAGACCGGGCAAAGCGCAACAAAAAGTTGGACATGAATCGAGTGCGTCTGCTCTTTCATATTGCGAAGCGAAGTGATTCAAGGTGGCATGCAAACACATGGCGCCTCTGGCAAAACATTTTCACGTCTACATTTGATCAAAATATTTCACGAAACTTGCAACCGATGTTTCGCGAAAGCTCAATACCCCCACCTTCATTCGTCGCGTACGAAAGGTACCTGTGTGAAACTACAAAAAAAATACGGTTCGGGCTATATGCTACTGTGAACTACCGGTCGCGGTGACCCTACTCCTCTGTGGTGTCAAGAAACAAGCGCCATCGGTGTTGCGGGCAACGCACGTTGTAGAGCGGCCCGCAGGCCTTGGAGGCCCTGGTGACGGAGTCAGCGGTGAGGTCGCCGGCAGCCTTGAAGACGTCTTCCACCGTCTTGATCACCGGGTTCGTCAACGAGTCCGTGTCGAAGTTAACCACGGTGGCAATGAAATCTGCCTTGCTGATCACCTGCAAGGGCATCCAAGGCAAACGTTCTTCAAGGTACGGCGTACTGGGTGCCCCTGACACGGAGCAACGAGGTGTACAGCAATTCAATACAAGCACCGATAGCTATGGCACGGGAAAAGGGGGTTGGCAAACAGACAAATAGAAGGCAAGCACATCTGGATGGCAATTTCAAGGTCCATTGTAGTGAGCCAATGGGGACAACATTGATACCGGCGGCATCCCGCAGCACTAAGGTCGATGTCCGCTGCTCCGTTCGCCAGCTGCATAGCCAAACGCAACGAAACAACGCCACCAAACAGGCCTTGCTTACCCGGCGTACTTCGGACCAGGTCGGTTCCTGATGTCCCAGCATGATGGCCACGGCCGTGAGAACCGTTTGCACTGCAGGTGGGGGACTGGTAAAAGAGACATCGACGCAGACAAGGACAATACATTGAGAATGAAGACGAGTAAAAATCAAGCGCGGACGGGGCTGTGGAGTTCGATGGCATCGAGTAATAGTCATGAACTGTTGCCACTAGGGTGGCTGGGGCAGGTTATCGATAGACTCCGATAATATATCTCCAAACGAAACGCTCCACCGACATGCTACGGACTCTTCAACACGCGGCTCGTGTTGCGCGAAAAGCGATGCAGTACCTACCGTGTCAGCGTGCGAATCTCGTCCAGCTGTGGCTTCTTGATGCTACGCACACTGCTCTGGGCAGATAGCAGGGCTGGCTCGGCCTCTGAGAGCTCCGTCTCCGCCTAACCTCGCAGCAAACCAAAGGAAGAAACGAAAAAGCGAAAAAATAGTTCAAGTCGCTCGACACAGCTCACGGAAATTACTTTGGTCCAAGGATCGAAACCACTTGCCGGGTAATCGCAGCACACGACTGCTGTACCCATTCAAGGCATATTCGATATAGAGGAGGGTGCTGAGTCCCGTACCTGGTGACGCCTCTGCGCGATGCGGTCGTTCTGCTGCTGCAAGTCCTTGCTGAGGATCTCCGCTTCGCCCTTGCGCCTCTCAGCCTCGTTTTGTCCGGACACCATCTGCTGCAGCTTGGCGTTAGCCAGCTCGTCCTTCTCCCTGAGAAAAAAAATGGCACTCAAGTATCAGCGAATTGTTACACGGCGGCGGCGGTAACGGTAACAAAATGGAACGAGTACAAGCGATGCGGTGCGACCAACGTAGGCGAACACCACGCGTGGGCCGGCATATACAGCAAAAACAAGGGGAAAAAATAGTTCAGGATTGCTTGGCAAACACAACGTTGGGTGCGCGCCGGCGTCCAAGATGAAGGCGGGTGGTCTTGAGATGAAAACAGTCACCACCCACTATCACGGGTACTGTCATTCGTGACAACAGACAAAGCTCCCCCGTAGTTGTCAGGATACTGCACCGCGGCAACTGGATGCATGCAGAGTACATCTCACCGGAGGCGCCTCTCCTTCTCAGCCAGCCCCTTTTGCATGTCCTCCACACCGGCCTGCGTCTCCCTCAGCTTGTTCAGCCCCAGGTTGATGTGCAGCTGCAAGCAAGGCGATGTATGTGCCACCAAGTACAGAGCATTTCATGTGTCACCGTGCCAGAGCATGACCCGTGGATATATGTGACACGCCGATGACGATCGGTCCCCCATCAAAAACGAGCCAGCGTGTGTATCTGCAAATTCAAATTTCCCGACTTTCCGCAAGAATCTGTTTTGTATCAGAATCCGAGCTGCTTCAGGTGGCACACGCGCCACATTCTTACCCATGGGCTACATGAGCAATGCAAGAGCAGCAGCAGCTGTTCCAGCAAAAACCGAGTACGGTCGTCTATCCCAACGGCCATCTCATCCAACAGCACCTATACATGTTCCAAAGATGTTACCTGCTGGTCCTCAAGCTCTGCCCGTTTCTCATTGACGAGGGACACGAAGGCACGGATGAGACCAAGGAAATCTCTGGGGGAGACGTAGTGCCGCACCGCCGAAGAGTGCATAGGAGGGTTCGCAGACTCTTCCTTCACGCTCCTGGAATCGCAGCACAGCACAGCACAGCACAGCACATCACATCACACAAGGGTGGAATACTGCCATCAGCATGCTTGCACAGGGAACAAACAGTGGGGTGATTTACAACTGTTAATTCATCGGGTCTGGAACTATTGGGACCGTATTCAAGCAACGTGCATATTCAATTCCACACGCGAAACAAGAGTACAACCCCGTTTTTCTCCGTAAGCATTGCGAGAAAAATGTCGAATACTCCATCATAAACATAGAATTACGAGTGGCATCCCAGGCAGCAGCGGCCAAGAGCCCTGTCACTCGGGAATGCCTCAGAAAAAAGCGTGACCACCCTTATCGAGCACACCAGATTCTTGAGCCAAGTTTGGCATCGACAACTGCGGAGCTTTTGCCATGCCACAGGGACTTTCGCCTTGTCTCACCCGTGCACGCCAACGAGAGCAGCCACGAGCGCACGCCTGGGCATCTCTCCGCCCGCTGCCAACAGCCCGTCCAAGGCCTCCATTAGGGGGTGCGCCTCGTCGATGTCCCACTCGGACGTGCCTGTGTCCACGTGAGACGTGAACTCGTACCCAACCTTTGATGCAAGAATTGAGGGACCAACATGATGTCACAAACAAGCCCTATCCAACACGGAAACCCCTCAGCGAGGGGAGCAGAAAGGGGCGCACTACCCCTACAAGAATCCTCACATTCTTACATATCCTATTAAGGCGAAGAACGAAGGCAGAAAGAAGCCGCCAACCACCAAATCCAATCCAGCGATCAACCACACCGAGGGTGGATGCGAGTCTCTCCGAAACAAATTCACCTGCGCCAGAGCCTTGGTGGGCCACGTGCCGAACCAATCGACGACGCATCTGTTGAACAGGGCCGGGGAGGTTGCACAGCGCCCCGCAAAGCCGTCGCTCGCTGGATTCATCGTGAAAACCACGTGGAGCCCTCGTTGTACCTTCACAGGAACGCAATGGACGGAAGCGACGACATCACATCAACACCCCTGTACGCCACAGGTGCAGGCGAGCTACGGTGGACGATTCGAACCCCTCAGGCTATCTACACGGTGGGGGCACTAAAGAAAATCGTCGTAAGAAATTCAAACGAGTCGCCTCAAAAAAAAAACGAAGCTCCGCAGCCCGACAGCACATAATGCCACCCAACCGCCTGAATGATAAAAAAAAGCGAACACAGGTCTCACACCCAACAGAACCTGGCAGGTGCAACTGCTTAGTAGGTCATCTGTGGCGGGACAAGTCACGAGTCAGCGTGTGAGCACCTTCGTGGTAAACCGTCGGAAGAGCTCATCCTCCGAGTCTACCAGCACTCCGTCCCTCTGGGCAGCCTCGCGGCACCCCGCCATGAGGGCCGTCAACTCCTTGCCCTCGTACAGCCCAGGCACCTCCCCTGAGGCCAAGAGGGCGTTCATCCTATTGGCAAAGATTGTGGTACGATTTCGCCACGCAGGGGGGATGGGAGAGGAGAACGAGCGGGGATGGTGAGTGAGGGACGTATTGATTGCCGAGAGAGTGGCCTCGTAGAAGTTGACATGGCACTTGGCGGGAGCTACTGCTGGCCATGATAGTAGAGGTAGAGTTCGAGAGCGGATTCTGGCGCGCCTGGTACATATAGCCTGTGTTGATCTTGCTCCAAGGATAGCAGGGAAAAAGCGTCAAAACGCTTTGGATCGTTTTCTGCCGACGGGGGGAACGCAAGAATTGGTCGACAGGCGTCCCGGAGATTAATCGGAACGTGTCAAACTCATGAGGGTACTGATGAGGAAAAGCGGAGCAAGGCGTGAAGATGTCCGGGCGACGGCGCCCAAAGCTCATGTGCAACGTGAACGTTCCGCGTGACACGACAACGTGCAGTCTACACGTGCGGCACCGCAAGCCACTAGGTGACGCGTTACCTTTCCAGGAAGGCCGGAGACAGGACGTTGCTCTCGTCGAAGATGAAACACACTTGCTCGCCCTGCACGCCGACACGCCACATCACCGACCGGAGGTCTTGGTCGAAGTGCTCTAGCGTGTACCGGTTGCTGGCTTTCACCTGTTCAAGGAAAAAAAAAAATCCGTTCCGACGCTGGTCAGGTGAGTTGATCAAGAGATAGTTTGGGGGCGTGGACGTACATGAATTGTGCTCCAGGAACTGCTGTGCAATACACTATATATCTAACGCTGCGTGAATCAGAAACAGCACCGTATGGGCCAATTGAGTGCAAAGAGTGTCATGGGGTAATCCATACTTCACTAAGAACGGAGCGAAGACGTACGTCACGTGTTGATGCGCTCTTTGCTTCCATGTGAGCACATGGTGGACTGGCCCAACAACCGTAGAGTTAGAAAAAAAATGGCAGAATATATTTTCTCCACAAACCCGATCAACCCAACTCGCCTGGAAGATGGCGAGGCCGTTCATCCAGCTCACGAAGCGGCTCAACACCGTCTTCCCCGCACCCGCTTCTCCAACTAGCAGCAGGTGACCCATCGGCTGGCGCAACACCCGATCGATACGCAGCACGTGCTCGAGAACCCCATCGAACCTGCCCGCCGCATACGGGGACCAACAAAGCGCAGGGAATCACCCAACATGAACCCAACCTACATCACTGACCCTAGGACGACCTTGCGAACCATCGAGTGCCCCCGACGTCGACACCCTTCGCTAACACCCAAGATGCCCTGTCGGCTATGCTACCGTCCGTAGATGCTACTGAAAACGAGCATGGCCACGTTCGACCAACGGTCCCGCAAGATACCAACTTAGCAGCAAACGATCGGCAACAGCAACGGAAACGATCGGATTGTCTAAAGGATGGAGAAACTCACAGGACGAGAGGGACGTCGAGCTCTTCCTCGTAGAAGATGCGGAGTCGGGCCAGCAAGAACTGCCGCAGGTCTTCTTGCTTGACACTCGTGTAGTCCTGATACGAGAAAAGTGCAGGTGAAGTAGGGGACGGCAGCCGTGACTGCTTGAGCGACAAGGACTAGACGCTGTATCTGCTAACGGCGGAGTTTTGCATTGTATGATGCCCCGAATGATGAGATGGGGGATATGGGACTGCTCTACGCCGCAGAGCACCAACGGCACCGCACAGCCATGGACTTCAATACTCCGCGCTTGCGGTTCGATACGTGACCCGTTGTTGAGAGGTGGACAGGGTTTCTATAAGGTTATTCCTGTGCAGCAGCAGTATACCTTAGACAGCCATGAGCTGTAGAGAAGAGGCCTCTCCAAAGCCGAGTAGACCCCAGGGAAGTGTTTCCTCGCAACCTCGTCGACCTTGACAAAACAAGGAACCGGAAGCGTCGAATTGCCAGAGAGTAGGTAAATCAGTTGTGGTGCTGCAAGTCTCGGGCAGATAGCAAGATTGCTGTCTTCATCCATCCGAATCACCATCAGTCGATATTCGCGAAGGTCCTCACAATATCCAACCGACGACCCCGTCTCCGGGCTTCGGGCAAGGGTTGGGTTAAGCATCAATCTCCACGCCCCCAAAACACGATATTGCAACCTTGTCCGCAACAGCGCCGCCACACCTTCTCCTGGCACCAGTCCTGCTCCTCCTGCGTGACCAGCCTGTCGTGGAACAACCTCAGCGCCTCGTTCGCCCACAGTCTCACCAGCTCGTCCAGAGTCATGGCATCCAGGGGATTCATTGCCTCGTACAAGGCTCGCACCCATCGGGACAGCTCTCTGGGAGAGTAGATGTACTGCGGGTGCTGATCGGCGGTAAATTTGGCCTGTACACGCGTTGAACGACGAATCATCAGGTGTGCCAGGTCCGAGCGAGGACGTCAGGGGGACAGCGGAAGACAAAGAAGGCAACATCCTCAACCTACACGTATTTCCACGGTCCGCCCATACAGTATGTTTCACTCTGATAGCAAAGATAGAAGAAGTTCCAACATTATCGCAATTACGCTGCAGAACAGGACAGCAAAGCCCCAGTGGATGCATCGCCGAAATCAGTCGCAAACGAGGGGAGGGAGGGGGGCACCAACAACTGCAAGTTGTACCATACCTGGTTGAGGTGATAGAACTCTATCATGGCGTTCGTCAGGCCGTCTAGGTTGCCCCTGAGCGGCGGGTGCAGCTTGAGCAGCGCCGAGTTGAAGGCCCCGTAGATTTGCTCAAGGCTTTCTCGAGCCGGGGAGTCGACAAAGAGGAGCGGGGCATGCCGAAGGAACCGAGGCGGCAAAACTTGCCGACCTGCGCGCCCATCAAGAAGAGACCAACGTATTCGTGAGTCAACACGCGTCGCCACAGGCCGGGCTGAATCCAAACAAGCCTAGAGTATCGCGTTACAGTCTATTTTGGCAACCGTTATCAATGAATATGCCAGACGTACAACCTATTGGACAGAGGGGCCCCTAGAGACAGGAAACCGACACCCGGGTGCAACGCGAGCAAGAAAAACACGAACAGGAAATTCTCCTCTCCAACCCGTGCGAAACATGCACTGGTGGTGTTCAGAAATATCACATGTCTATCATAGAGGTTGTAGGGAAATTTAGCTAAAGCTCAACTACCGCCGTCGAAACCGCTCCAAACGACGTATTTGCACCTGCATCTGCCCCTCTGACCACTTCGCGCGGGACTATGAAGAAGCGAATCTGTGATTTCTTCGACACGATTTCTTCTTCAGTCCATTGTTCTTTCTTTCTCTTTCCGTGTTTTTGAGAACTTGAAGTGATGTTTGTAGTGCGGCTTGTGTCACAGCTAAAGCCGTGAAACTACAGCAACAGCAGTGCTATGTTTCGCACACACACACACACACCGTCGTCCTCCCCAGAGCAAAGGCATCCAGCAGTGCATGAGAGAGATGTGCTACGAGAGCCAGTGTTTTTTGTCAGAATGCCACAAGTTGCCGTCTTCTCATTTTCGGAAGAGATGTTTGCCCGCTTGCCCGCACGCACATTCATGCAGGTGTGGCGCTACAGCGCTACAGCAGTGGTAACAGTTAACAATCAACAAAACACACCATACTTAATGCTTATGGACGGTCGCTGAAGTGCACAAAAGGTAGGCACATTAGCTAGATACCTGCTAGTAGACGTGCCACGATCAGCTTCAACGCTATGTTCAACAATTACATTTTCAGACAAGTGTGTAAGGAGAATGATGACGCACGCTTCTCCCGACTAATAATCGGCATCTATCTACCATGGTATTGTTTTTTCTGCTGTACACCACCTCAATGAACCACCGTCCCACTTGGTACTGCGTTTGAAGCCTGCAACTGCTATACCTCACATTTACCGTTTCGTATGCACATCCACTCTCAAACGGAGGACGGGGGGGGCGGCAGCCCCCCGCGCCCGCCGCCTTTGTTCGTGATATTGGCAAAGATAACTCGCGCTGGTTCAAGCCCAGGAGGAGACAACAGACACACCTGCGTCCGTAGGGGGGTTGCAGGCTCCGACAAACTGGACCCGGTTCAGCTTGACCCAGGTCTTGTCGCTCGCCCGCCAGAACCCACCCTGCTCCGTCAGCTGCCGCAGGAAAGACACCACCCGCTGTGTGCCATACTTGTCCTGCATTGGAAAACACACCGCAACAGCGACATGGATGACATAATTGTTCATGCTCCTCTCACCAAAAACAATTTGTAGTGAACTCTACGATAGGCTTCAAGCCTTGCACGGAATACTTGTGGATTGGAATACTTCAAGCGCAGAGTACACTAGGCCATGCGGCATGGCTATTGATCGAAGGAACGACAGCATTCGATGCGTCGCACAACCGTGCCTACAGAAGCGTACCTGTGACGGCAAGTTTATTTCGTCGCAGAAGATGACTAGCCACTTGCCCAAGCCTAAAGAGGCCATCGGCTGCAGAACGACCCCGCGGGGAGTGCGCACGTATTCGCAGTGCTGCTGGAACGCCTGCAGAGTTAACAACGGCATTGTACGGCTTCAGCGTTCGTGTGGATGTAGGCAACACACCGTGTAGCCTGTGCGATCGGTTACCAGAATTTCGAATCTGAGATTCGTCCGCAGCCTCGCTTTCACTTCGCTGGTTCTAAAACTGACGGGGTACAACAAGTTCGGGTGCGATGGACAAATATCGTGGGGGAACGTGCCACCGCCGAGGCTTGCGTTGCAAATCTGTGCATGGTGCCTTCCTCGGTTCAACGACGGCCATGAAAGACAACCCCCGCGAGGCCTATCCAACCATCCTGCCCCAAGAGGACTCAAGACAAAAGAGACCATTTGCGACTTCAACAGCAGTACAACTCCAAACTTCAATGAAGATACCACCGCATCAGAATCCGTACTTCGACTCGAACGCCGGCAAGGGGAAGGGGCTTGGGGTCACCTGCAGGATCAGGTTTGGGTCGGTAGAGCTCGAGAAGTTGAGGCTAGCCAGGACAAGGTTCGGCATGGCCTGCAGAGTCGACGTGAGCGTCATCGTCTTGCCCGAGCCGGGTGGTCCGCAGAGGATGAGGGGCTTGTGGGAAGCCAGCCACGCCTTGAGCACCTCCACATGCCTTTGGGGGGCAGAAAACGGACACGTTCGCACAGATACATATAGTCATCAATAACGGACACACTCGATACATAGACCCAATACGGACGCACTCGCACAGAAACGATCAACAAAATGTCAGTGAGGATATTGTCGACGATGAATCGACTCAGAAACGAAATTTTGCGAACCGACGTCGAGACTTTGGGCGCAGAGGAAAGTAAAGTCTACGTGGGTCCTATGGTAGCCAAAAGACAATGGCACACGTTACGTTTGGCGGCGCAAGTGCCATGACACTTGTCATCTCAAGAAGTACCATAGAGAGAACATACATCGAGTCCATTTTCCTCTCACTGCGGCATACCTCGCTAGTACCTCATCGCATGCCGGGATATCTGTCGTTTTCTCACCTTACGGTGTCCGTGGTGGTAATGACGACATCCGAGCTGACGATGCGGTGTGGCTCGAGCTGTGTCTTCGGAACCGAATCCGACCACGCCAACCACTCGCCGTCCTCCGCTCGGACCTATAACCGAAGATTGCACAACATTAAACGGTTGTGCCACGTTTATGTATTCATTACTGCGGCTTTTTTCTTTGCCACTTAAACGAACCAGGGAAGGTTGTTGAGTCGCACAAAAGCACAAGTTGAAACACGTTAGTGTACACCTCGCTAGGCACACGCAACCACGTTGCCTGGTTGACCTTTCGCACGCCGTGTGCTTTCCGCTGTGCGTTCAACGACGAAGGCAGAACGAAAACATGTCGTAATTCAAAAGCCCAGCAAAGAAATGCAATTTGGCACGGATCGACGGACCTGGAGCGAAGTGAGGTCGGCACCATCGGCAGGCGGCGGCAACCCCGAGTGGTGGATCAAGACCTCTCCAAGTTCTGCCCTTCCCTTGGCGTCCATACTGCCCCCAAGGCCCCACATGAGCGAGTGCAGCAGCCACCGGATGGCAAACCGGCTCACAACGTCCTTGGAGCGATCGGACAACAGTACAACGCACAAAAGCACGACCAAGACAACGTGTCATTGTCGTATTTGGCACGAACAGCGCAGTTTGTGATGGCAGAGTGCTGATCTCGTCGACATAAACGCTGCAACACGACACTAGGTGAGGGACGAACAGTGCCTGCACCATTCCTAACACCACCCTATAGGAAAACCCATGCTAAGTATGTGCAAAACCACGATTTCCAGGCGACCAATGCCACACCTCACCGGACCAATCTGCCACGCATCACTTCAAAACAGAACGGTAGTGTTCAGACCGGGCAGTGGATCAGTCACACCCGCGGCCTGCGTGAGCTTGGCCAAGAAAGGATGAGCACTATTTAGCAATAACGCCGCGTATTAACGATACATCGATTTTGCAAACATCAAATGTCATACTTGGGCTTTGTCGGCCGGGAAAACCAAAATGTGGATTCTGCATTTCGGTTTGTTTTTTGTCTTCGACCAATCAGCTCTCGACATTGATTCTCGATTTTGGTTTATCCAACCTCATCAAAAACAACATAAATTCCCGCCTCCCCTACTCACCGCGGGGAGCGGGAAATCAGGGTGGCCCTCGTTGTACTCCAGGACGAGCCCTACGCCCCTTTCCAGCAGCGAGCACGCGCTCTCAACGAGACGCTCCCTTGTGCTGGACATGACCTGCGGCCTCGACAGCGCCAGCTCGAGGGCCACGGGGAAGAGACGATCATCGTCGAAGCTCCCGCCGTCCGTGCCGGGGACGAGCGGGCCCGCGGCGTGGAAGTGCGGCTCCAGCACTTGGGCGAAGTCCAGCTGCAACGGTATAGGGTGTGGAGCCTTTAGGAATGAGGGGAGTGTCGGTGTGCTTCAATGGGCATCCGAATATGCGCAGGAAAATTCGGAGTGAACCAAAATGAGAAAAAAGATACTCCACAACGCCATGGCGGCAAAAAAATGAAAGCGCTTGGGCCTCACAACTCGACACAACCACAACTGATAACAGCTACGCAACACGCCGCAAAGAGAGTGTGATGTGGCTTTGTGTGATGTTGTGTCATGTTGTGTGATGTTCGGACGTCCCGTGCGTACCTGAGCTGTAGACGGCGCCAGCCCCTGGCCTCCGCCAGCTGCCTCCCCGCCGGGCACACCGACGGTAGACGACGACCCCTCCAGCAGCGACACCGGGTCTGACCGCAGTCGCATGAGCTGCACCACCGTTGCGAGGCGCGCACGTAACCATTACGGTGCACGAGAGAAGACAGGTCACACGGTCGCTCGGCAAAGTGCTAAACGGCTTCCAAGCGTTCACGTTTCGGTTCAGGTCGCATGGTACTTCGGGAAGTGGTAAACGGTTTTCCTCGCAAGGTGTAAACGATGCGATGCAGTCATCCGACCTGGCGGGGGGTTCATATAATGTGCCGTGCTGTCGGTGTTCGTACCCGTAAGGTAGGTGCCTCGGGGAATGAAGTGTCGCGGGGTGAGTTCAGTAACGACAAACAATAGGAAGGTGGCACGAACACAGGCAGGCACTTAGCAAGCCTAGAAATGTGCCGGCGGACGCCCGCCCTTGCGACAAAGGTCAGCGACGCCTGTCACAGTGCTGTGACAGGCGGTAAACACACATAAGGACGAGACCAGCAGCGACGTCCGACTTGCAGCTGGAGGTCAGCGAGACTACGCAATAGCAAGGGCCCTACAATGATGGTGAAACGGTCATTTCAAGACGCGTGCAGCATGCCGAGCGCCGTCAAGAAGCACCGACCTTGTGGCGCAAAAGCATGTCGTTGGTGACAGTGCCCGGGTTGGGCGCGGTGTCGGAGTCGACCCCATTCTGCTCGGAAGCCGAGAACCACACCATGCCGCACCGAGAGACCGTGGCAAGCGTCGCATACTGCAGGCTGTCCACCTGTTGACCAGCAAAACCGTTGGCAAAACAACAAAGCATCGGACCGGGCTATATCAGCATGTGCAATCCCGAGATTTGTTGGAATTTCGGGTTCTTCCAAGACGCTGACGCCGCTCGCCCGCGCGCCAAGCTATCTACCCGGACATGTGGGTCGGCAGCGTTGCCCTTGATCTTCGGCATGCGGACAGCAACCACAACACCTAACGCTTCTTTTAACATGTTGGTGATCCCGGCAACGCCAGCGACACCACTGAAACGGCTTCAAAACGGCCACGCGTCTGAAAGAAGCCAATGTCGCCCACTAGCAGAAATCCAAGAGCTGCGGTAACATGTCGTTGGTGATCCTGAAAACGCCAGCGACAACAGTGAATCGGGTTCTGTATGGCCCGCAAGAAGCCGATGCCGCCTACTAGCAGAATCCACGAGCTGCGGTACGGCTTACTTCGAGCATGATGCGGACGTTGTCCGGGACCTCCAGCCTCTCCCCGCTTGGCAGGGTAAGGATCTTGTTGTCATCGAGAACGCTGTTGAGGTTCTCCGCCCAGTCCGGGTCTACGTCCCCGTCGAACACGATCCAGTGCCGACGAGCCTTCTCGCCGCGCTTGTTTGTCAGCACCTGCCGGGGAATTTTTATGTTTAAGGAGAAACGGAAGCACGTAGCAGGTAGGACAGATCAGAACAAAAAGGGTAAGATACTTTGATGGAGATGTTAGGACTGCTGAAAGATGCACTCTTGTGAGCGCATGGTGCAAAGAGGGACATCTAAGGAGAGGGCCGAAGTTAACGACCGATGACTACAGCGCTACACGCACATGCACCGACTACAATTGTAGTGCACCCATAACCCACCTCGCGAAGAACCTTGGTGAAGATGCCGTCTGTCCACTCGAGCGTGGTCGGATCCAAGTTGCCGTAGAGCGCCTTGTTGCCTGACGACGTGGAAGACAAAGTCGTGGTACAGGGGAAGACCGAGGAGCAATGAACCACCAGCGCCCGCGACGTGCGCCGTAGCAAGAAACCATGCGAGGACCGACACCCTTGACATTGGGGACAAAACGGTGACACCTGTGCGCCCAATGCTGGTCAAGAGCTAACCGTTCCGCGACCTGAGCAAGTACACGCCTCCAAATAGACCAAGGAGGGTACAACGCCGAGAGCAGCGATCGTGCCCCCCACCACCGAACAAATGGCCTGCTGTGCAGACAAGCTGTCCAGCAGGCAAAACAGCAGCCTTACCAATGGCCTTGGGGTCGATGACGTGTGCTTCGCCCTTGACGCCGTCCAGCATTTCCAACGCGGAGAGCAAGCACCGCCATGCGCTAGTTTTGCCGCTACCGGAAGGCCCGACCATCATAACGCCGTGCCGGAGTTCCAGCACCTGAAACGCGGCGTGCAGAGATACAGCGGGAGGATCATAGTAACTTTTTGTGGACGTGTTGGGGTATACAGCAGGTGTAGCAAAGCAATCAATTCCTGCATGTGCACCATGGTCAGGTAGGCAAAGTTAATGCGCCATCAGGGCGGAGGTGGGCGGAGAGAAACGTCACCGGCTCAGAAGCTCGCGCGACACGCTATTTGCGTACGCGGCTCGTGCAACATGCTCAGTTGCTTCGAAACCCATTGGCGTCTTACAGTAATTTGGATATCCAATTCACCTGTTTGAGCTGCAGCACCTTCTGCACCCAAGCCTCTCCCATTAGCAGGCGCCTCGCCGTGCACACCACCTCAAGCTTCTCACGCAGACCCTCCTCAGTCATCGTCGACACCTGAAAACAACAACAACACGAACCAGAAGTGTACATTCGATGAATCAAGACCCTGTGGGACGTCGCACTTCGAGAAAGGTCCTGGCAGCTGTTGGTACCTGTTCTTGCAAGGGGAAGCCGGACATCTTTCTGAAATCAACACGCAAGCTGCATCTGGTCAGATGCCAAATCGACCAAGAATTGTGATTTTTTCAAAACCTCCTGGCTACACTGAACAAGACGGGCGCCGCACACGCCTGCCGCCAAGCCCATCCACGGCCAGAAAAATGTTTCAACACACGGTACATTGCCATGTACTCGTACTTGTTGTGCGGCACACAGTAGTCAAGGTATCGGTAAGAATAGGGTGCATGAACTTAAAGCACCCACCCACCTGGCATCCTGGGAACACTCCGTTGAGGAGGCTGGCGAACAGGGCGTAGTCCTGTGCCACGAGCTTCGGTACCACCGTGTTGCACGCCGACCTATTCAACCCAAGGTAACCACAACGATTGTGACGTCAAACCATGGTGACCCGTGGAGTATGGAACGGCATGCTACACATGGGAAGCGAAGCCCACACGATGGAGATATTCTCAATGGGCTGAGCCCTTGCACGTCTTTGCCCACAGAGGAGCAATAGTCCTTGAAACCAACACACAGAGCCCTCCCGCGATGCAGGAGGGGCACATTCTAGGGTGTCACGTCAGACCGCAGCTGTGGCAGCTGCTTCCCAAAACACCCAATGCCGCAAATGATTGATGTCGTTAAAGCCGCACGATCTCAAGGAGGGGGTCCAACCCTCCCCTCCTATGTGACCCCGGTTGGGTCGTCTAGCTAGTAGAAGTGGAGGATGGGGGCCAGAGGGGCAGACGACAGAGTCCAATGATGGGAGAAAAAAAAGGAAAAAAAAATGTACATACATATCACTCAACTTGGCCAACGGCCACCTTCCAAACTTAGCAGCACAAGCCAACAACAATCGAGCCAAACGCACAAGAACTCCGCGCAGGCCATGCGAAAGATACCATCGGTATCCACACTTCAAGCCCCCCTTTCAGTGCATATCCCGTCAGGCTTTACCCTTTCAATGCATACGCAAAAACATCTCAAGATGTCGCCTTACACAACAATGTACCAGAGAGACACTGAAAGGCCGCTTCCCAGCCCGTCCCCGCCTTGTAGGGATGCGAGGTCAATGATCTATCTACTACGGCACGCACGACTATGAGTACCCCCCCCCCCCCTTTGCGAGGTCAATGGTCTAACGACTACGGCATGCACGACTATGAGTACACCCCCCCCCCCCCCCCC